GTGCCAGGCCAGGGGCTGGCGACCCTGGGAGGACTGCGGGGAAGGGTGGCCGCTCTCCCTTCGGGGCTCGGGGAGTGGCCTGGTGGTCACCTTCAAGCTCTCTAGTTAGACGAATGAATGCATGCCCCCTCCCCGAAGGCTCGCAAGCCCCTCAGTGAAAATGCCCTCTCATTCGGAGGTCTCCTTCGCTGCCTGCCCTCCCGCGGAGAGGGGACAAAAGCCGATGAGGGGTCCNTCCTGAAGAAACACATCCTAGCAGACAAGCATATGGTTTATGCCCAAGCTTTTTAAGTCAAAGGACACGCAAGAGGAGGAGTAATTCACAGGAATCTATTTTGTAGGGATGTATGTTCATCATGGGTTGTGTGGCACCTCTGTTTTGGCATTTTACCTGTGTTCCATTGGTAGCAGACCAGATTTTGGATGTAACATTGATTTGAGCCAATTCTTGCCGGCTGTGCCTGGTCGTTGACATTTTATGCATTGTCTTGTACAATAGCACCTTTTTGTCTTTATGAATCTCAGGATTATGAGTGGCACATTCCTGTTGTCCCCTGGAGGGGAGCAAGGCAGCAACATGTCAGGAGAATTCCAGTCCAGTCAGTGTTTGGGGGTACTATTTTCATTTGTAGACTTGGCATTTGTGATTTGAACCAGATGCCTTTTGAGGTTTTTTTTTTTTTCTTTTTTGGTTGTTGTTTTTTTTTTTCTTTTTTTTTCTAGCAATAGGAAGCACTAGGTGGCGGTGTGAGTTAGCACTACAGATCTGTCACCTTTGGAAACCCGAGTTGAGTTCAAATCTTGATGGACCTTCCCTTGAGGGTTTTGAATTCTGCCAGCTCACATTTTACTTGGCACTGGCTATTAGTATTAGTTTCTCACTTTNTTTCTTTTTTGGTTGTTGTTTTTTTTTTTTCTTTTTTTTTCTAGCAATAGGAAGCACTAGGTGGCGGTGTGAGTTAGCACTACAGATCTGTCACCTTTGGAAACCCGAGTTGAGTTCAAATCTTGATGGACCTTCCCTTGAGGGTTTTGAATTCTGCCAGCTCACATTTTACTTGGCACTGGCTATTAGTATTAGTTTCTCACTTTCAAAGACTCTAAGACTGATTAAACTCCACAAAGCAACTAATAGAAAACAAAGCTCTGCAGGACATTTGGCCAGAAAAATCGCACCTAAGTAAGATTATAGGAAATCTGTTACACTCTGACTTCAAATTAAAGAGTCTACTGTGAAGTACTGTTTTGTAAAAAATTGGCTGCACACAGAAGATATTATAAAGTCTCAGTGCGGTTTTTTTTACCCTTACCTATAAAAAGTAAGTTTTATATTAGCTGAAACTAAAAGCAAGTATTGTTTTTATGAAGAAATTTTATATCACCATAAAATGTGAGAAAGTGGAATTAAACATGGGACATATACTTGAAGTTTTTCTTTATTTCGGGTCATCCAGTAAATTTTAGTTTTGGAAGATTTAGTGAACTCTCTAAATGGTAATTTGAAGACTTACAGCAAACATTCTGGTTCTTTGTCACAAAAATGTGTTCATTTTTCCTTTCTCCATTTCTTCCTAATCAGAATTGTCTGAGGAGAAGAGATGCTGGTTTGTTGAATCAGTTGCAAGAACTTGACAAGCAGATAAGTGACCTGAGACTAGATGTAGAAAAGACATCTGAAGAGCACCTAGAGACAGACAGCCGGCCCAGCTCAGGTGAGTGTGTGAGCTTAAGGACACCATTCTGGACTCAGGAGTTCCACCTGGGCCCCTGTGCTTAACATTCCCAGACCTGCAAATGGCAGTTGAGTTTGTTTCCAGTGCAGAGAGAACAAGAAAGCAGTCTGGCTGCCATTCAGTTGTATGAGAGGGAACTAAAACCAGACTACAAAATTTTTAATAATGAGATTGATCTGACTGGAGTCCCCTGAGTTTAAAAATAAAAGCTTCTATTCAAATTTCTGGAAGAGCGGTCCTCCTTTGAAACTTGAGAAAGTCAGAACTGGGCTAGAAAATTAGTCACACTTCAACTTCCTGAGACCACTTTGAAAGTTTTTTTTTTTTTCTTTTAAACCATTTGGCTCCTTAAATAGAATAGTTTTCTCTTCAAGTTATTCTTTCTGAAACGTTCATGATAACGTTGAGGCTTTGGCAGACCTAAGTCTCTTTCCTTGTACATCTTTAAAGGTTGAATCAAGGAGGAAGGTCAATTGGACCATGAGAGTAACTTTGAAATGTACCCATGGTTATGGGCTCTTTCCTTTTTCTAAGGATTTCTTGAAATAAAACTGTAAAATCAGGACACTAAGTCCAGTGAGCCAAAATTACTCCCCCCTCCAAAGTCTCCCTTTCCTACCTTTTCTCGATGATTATCCCTTTTCCTTTTAAGCACAAATGTATATTATTGCATGACATGATCTTAATTCCAAATGGTGTTTTTATTTGTAGGGTTTTATGAACTGAGTGATGGGGCTTCAGGATCTCTTTCCAATTCCTCTAACTCAGTCTTCAGTGAGTGTTTATCCAGTTGTCATTCCAGCACCTGCTTTTGCAGCCCCTTGGAGGCTACCTTGACGATCTCAGATAGTTGCCCCAAATCAGCAGGTAAGCCTTTTAAGAATCAATATACATTTTTTTAATTGGAAGGGGTCAATGATTCCTTAAAGACTACGTAGCTTCAACCCCTTTTGCTGATGAAAATCAAAGGCTCCAAGAATTTCATCTACTTGCTGCATTTAGTGCCATAGTTGCATCTAGAACCAAGATGACCACTATTCTAGTCCTCTTTGGGTGCCACTTGGCTTTAGATTCAGCTTATCTTTAGAAATCCTGTCCCGATATTATAGGTTTAGAACTCTGTTTCTGAGCCTTTGCTTAACAGGCTTTGTTAGGCTTTAACTTGTATTTTCTTTTGAAAACCACTTTGTATCTGTTTTCTTCTTGAATCATTCAAAGCTAAAGCTTACAGTAAGTTAAATATATCTGTCAGCCTGGCCAAGGGCTGCTAGGCACTTGAGGGAGCAGTGGCCTTTCCATGTTCTCCAGAAAGCTTTGTATGATAGCAGCTCTCCTTCTAGCAGGTGGGTGGGATGAAATGCCCTTAGGCCATGGGCCATTGTTCCTCATTTTGGGCTATCCTTGCAATTACCTCCAGAGAGAAGAGTTTCTGCATTTCTGCTATGCTTCACACACTGTTCTGGAGGGTCTGCATACATTTATCTCCTTTGAATCCTCCCAGCAGTTCTGCAGGATGCAGGTGTTGTTAGCTCCATTTTATGTATAAGAAAATGAAACCTAGCGTTAGGTTAGGTAAGTTGTTTAAGGCTAAATAGCAAGTGAGTGACAAAGGCGGATTAAGCTCTAGCCTAAACTGCCAGGTCCATGTTTTTCCACACACCACACCAAGGGAATTCAGAAGTTGTTGTGTTCAACCTTTTCATCAAAAAGAGGAGAAATATGGTTTTAGATGCTTTTTGTCAGAGACTCCTCGTCTGCTGAATGGCAGAGTTGTTGCTGAAACTTGGGACTCCTTCCTTAGTTCTGCTTTGTTTTGATTCCACAAAAGAGCGGAGAAAATATGGGGAGTAGAGAAGCTGTAGGTGCTGGCATAAGCCACTACACTCTTGGTTTGTCTGTGTTTTCCTCCTGGGTATAAGACTGAATTCTTGAGTCCAGACAATGCAAACAGCACCAAACAACTGAGACTGCTAATTGGCTGGTGTCTTTGTATTTGTACAGTGTGTTGTCAGCAGCAATCATTTGGGGAAGCCCAGATCAGTGTTATCTAGAGTGTCTGGGCCTCAAGTTCGTTGGTAATTGCTCCCCTTCACTCTGCAGATCTGGTTTCAGAGGGAAACTTAAAAACCCATTAAAGGCACTTTGATACAGGTTTTCCTCGAAGACAGACTCCTCTCCCAAACGCCACATCTTCACATAACTGAAACAGTTGGGCTGGGTCTTGAGGGCTGGGAAGCCTGTTTTGTTCCTTAACTCTTAAGTAGGGAAAGGGGACAAATGGTGAAGTGCAGGTTAATGTGGCTTTAAGCAAGTCAGATAGGCCTTAGGGTAGTGGAGGAGGGGTGATGGGCAAAGATATTAGAAAGATAGGTTTCTCCTTACAATAAGCTACATCTTGGGAGTGGAGGTGGAGGGGGGAGAGGACATGACACTTTTATTTCATAATGATCATTTCTTTACAAATTAATCATATTATTTCTGGGTCTAGACTATATTTTCCCAAGAGTGCTAATCACTGAAGTTCAGGGAGCTTTTCCTTAAACAGTTAATATAGAATCTGGCACATAGAAGGCTTTCAATATTGAGTAAGTAAATGTAATTGAGGACAAATTAAATAGTGATAAAAAATTTTATTTTCTCTAACTTAAGGTCATTGAAAGGATTTGAAATTTGCACTATTCACGGAGATGAGGGGTCAAAATCGTTTAATTAAGCAAGAAAGCTCGATATCATTGTATTTTGGCATCTACATTTTTGAGATATGGAAAATTTATTCATTAAAACCATTATTCAGCCTTTTAAAACTTTATCAAGAATTCCTTCTTACTTAAAAAAAATACCATATTTTGTTTGTGTCACAATTGAAAATATAAGGTCATTATTATTTAAATTTGATTAGTCTCTTGCAATTTGATTAATTTCCCTGACCTTTCAATTGGCAGTTATATTTGAACATATGTTGATAAGAATTAGGTCTGAAAAATACAAAATGAGGAGAAAGCCTGTAGAAAGTATAGTTTATCTGAAGTTTTTTAAAGGAAAACCAGGAATAGAACACAGGGGAAAGTAGCCTAGAGAAAGAATGACTAAAAAAACATTTATTTTCCCAGTTATAAATGCAGTACATGCTTATTGAAAATGTAGAGAACAGGAAACAAAGAAGAGAGTAAGCACCACTTGTTTTTTCACCACACTGAGATGCTACAGTTAGCATCTCGGTGTGCTTCGTATAAGTCTTCAAATAAGACTTTCTTATTTGCATCTGTACAATCTTAATATAATCATAGTCTGGTATGATATCATGATTTTCACTAAACTTTAAGGTGTTTCCCCATATTATTGAATAATTTGAAAGCATTTTTGGCCCTGGCAAGATAGTTCAGTTGGTTAGAGCATCACCCCAATTCACCAAGTTGCCGATCCCCGTCAGAGCACATACAAGAATCAACCAGTGAATATATAACTAAGTGGAACAATAAATCCATGTCTCTCTCTCTCTTTCTCTCTCTTTCACCCTCTCCCTTTCTCCTTTTTAATGGCTGAGTATTTTTCCTTCAGAGGCTACATATCTTAGAATTTTAGTCTGCGCACTGTATGTAAAATAGTGGAGTAGCTCATGGAGTACCTGTTGATTCTTTGGCATTCTCTCTCTACCCACGGATTTGTCTTCCTAGAAATTGGCCAGAGGCAAGCTGGTGCTGACCAGTTCATTTCTTCAGAGTGTACCTTTAAATGTTTTTCAGATCTCATAGGATGGTTGGACTCTACAGAAGGCCACTGGGAAGACCAGGCCTCAGAGGCAGTTTGCCGTTTCCCTTCCACATCACAATTTAATCCCCTTGGTGTCATTGCAGATGTGAATCCCAAGTACCAGTGTGATCTGGTGTCTAAAAACGGGAATGATGTCTATCGCTATCCCAGTCCACTCCATGCCGTGGCCGTGCAGAGCCCAATGTTTCTCCTTTGCCTGACAGGCAACCCCCTGAGGGACGAGGAGAGGCTGGGTAACCATGCCAGTGACATTTGCGTCGAATCCGAGCTGGACGCCATCAAGACAGACACCCCCTTACCGTCTCCAGGCAGTTTGTGGTCCGCTCCCCATCCTTCATCCAGTAAGAAAATGGATGGCTACATTCTGAGCCTGGTCCAGAAAAAGACACACCCTGTAAGGACCAACAAACCAAGAACCAGCGTCAACGCCGACCCCACCAAGGGGCTGCTGCGGAACGCGAGCGTGTGCGTCCGCGTGGCCGGGGGCGTCGCCCAGGGCGCTAGCGGGAACCTCAAGAATTCTAAGCAGGCGCCCTTGCCCCCCGGCGGAATCCCCTCTTTGGACAGTGGGACATTCTCGCCCCTGAAACAGTGGTCCAAAGAATCAAAGGCAGAACAACTGGAAGGCAAGAGGTTGCCGCTGCCAGAGGGCTGCTCGCCCGGCGCTGCCCCTGAACTTCAGAGTAAGCACCCGCCCAAAAATGCCAAGCCAGCCTCGCAGGAACATGCCCGGGGCCCCGCCACTGTCCCGGGGGAGGCCCCTAAAGAAGGCAGCCAGGTCCCAGCTGCGTCTCCGAAAGAGAGCCCCGGGAGAGGCCTCGCCCCGCTGCCAGAGAACAAAGTTGTCCAGCCACTGAAAAAGATGTCGCACAAAAACTGCCTGCAGGCAGCGCC